TGTCTCAACTCTCCTTAAAAACCTCCTCTTTGGGGCACCTGGGTAGCTCAGTTCGTTAAGCATCTGACTCTTGATTTCAGCTCAGGTCATGATCTCAGGGTCGTGAGAGCAGGCCCTGCATCAGGCTCTGCACTGAGCTTGGATCCTGCTTAGGATTCTCTCTCTCCCTCTCCCTCTTCCCTCCCCCACCTCAAAAACAAACAAACAAACATAAAACCTCCTTGTCATATCCTGTCCAAAGGATAAAATCCCAAGCCTTTAACGTGGACTTTTTAAGGCTCTTTCGGTATCTTAAAACCAGTAGTAACAGTCCTATGTCCGCAACTCCACACTTTGAGCATGCACTCTCCAGCTCCATGGATTTCACATGCACCACTTCTTAAATATACCTTGCTTTGTCAGGCTCCTTGTTGAGCACACACTAGGGTGTGTGCACTCGCTGCTCCTGTCTCCTCCTCTCTACTTGGCAGGCACCGAGCTATATAATTCAGTTCTGCTTCTTATATTACCTACTGTGAAGCCTTTCAAGACTTTCCCATTTATCTGATCCCTTCTCGGTGCCACCATAGCAGAATGAACATAACTCTACAAGCTATTTCCTGCTTGAATTCATTTATTCTACTGGAGCTCTTTGAGGTGGAATTATGTCCCTGTGCATCTCTGTCCCATTCCACTGTATGTTCTTTGAGGTTCGGGCTGGCACCTGTCGTATTTCTCAATGTATCCCTAGCACCTATGCTGTGCCTGGCATACAGTTGACACTTAACACGTGTTTATGAAATAAATAGATGAATGAATTGTTACTTTCAGATACTAGAGCAACTGAAAATTGTCCTCAGCTTGTATGATGAGGCTGCCTGAGGCTACCGCACTTTTTTCATTACCATATCGTCTTTTTTATTTCTGCCCAGAACCAACAAAATGACTTCAGGAGACTAATAATTTAACCACTTCCCCAATCTGCTCTCAGGTTATCCTCATAGATAATTGCTGCCTGGTTAACCATTTGAGAGCAGGGCTGCCTCCTTGCTTGGCTGATAGTGGTCTCCAAAGCCCATTCTTCAGGCCAGTATGAACCATCAGTCCTGCCTTGAACAGATTGAAAACCTTACTTTTGACGAGTTATATCAAGACTAGGACTTTCTTTGTCTTTCATTGAAACAAAATCCTTTGGGATACATGGTCACTTTGCTTATCTATCTTTTGACTGTTGGCTGGAAGCAATTTAGTAGCAATTCTTAGGGAAATGTCAGCATCTGACATATTTGAAATAATAATAGATTCTTTCATTTTTTTAGACACTTTACTCAACCTATACATCCATCCTTGTCAACCCCAAATTATTCAACATGTGTTATCATGATGTTTACAATAACTTCAGTGACTAAAGTCATATATACATAGACACCCACATACATACACATTCACACACATACATGTATACACACACACGATATTAACGATATACAGGGCAAACCTATTCTGCTATATTCACTGACACTTTTTAAGGACCCTGATCTTGACCCCTATATTTTGTTATCATTTATAATGGCCATTGGTGTCTATCCATTGTAGTCAGTATCTCGTGCATATATAATAATTGCTCCACTTACAAAATCTACTTAATATGGCCAGGCACTTAAAAAAAAAAAAAAGATTGATTGATTGATTGATTGATTTTAGAGAAAGAGAGCACGAGCAGAAGGGGCAAAGGGAGAGGGAGAGAGAAACTCCAAGCAGACTCCATGCCCAGGGCAGAGCCCAATGGGCAGCAGGCGTAGGGGCTGGATCTCACCATCCTGAGCCGAAACCAAGAGTTGGGCACTTAACTGGCTGTGCCACCCAGGCTCACCCCCGCCTTTTCAGAGAGGGTTGGGGGAGGGGCAGAGGGAGGGGGGAGAGAGAGAATCTTAAGCAGGCTCTATGCCCAGCACGACCTGAGCCGAAATCAAGAGTCAGGCACTTAACTGACTGAGCCACCTCACGTGCCCCTGGCCAGGCACTTTTTATATGCATTATTTTTTATTCTTATAGCCACCCTGCAAGGGCAGATGTTATTACCCACATTTTACAGACAGAGGAGCTGAGATTCAGAGAAGTAGTAGTATCTGAACCAGGATTGCCTCTGCCTCAAAGCCCATGTTCTTTTCACTACAACGCTCAGCATCTTAATAAAAAAGCCTAATATGAAATTGAATCTTTAAAAAGTTGAAGAATCTCTATTTCCTCTAAGATCCAACTCCTACCCCATTAATCAAGGGTCTGGTTCTTGATTCTGTCACAAAAAAATATGTCATTCTCTGTTCAGTAAGACAGAAGTGGGAGGAGGGAGAGGTGTTCAGAGAATATTGCTTGTGTGTGTGGTGGGATTTTGGAGTTCTGTTGCCTAACGGCTTATTCTCATGGCACTTGTTCTCTAGGCTTTGGGTTCCTGGGCCCCTTGGAAAAAAATAGGGAGGACACTGTTACCATATCTAAAAGGGTCTATACAAATCACTGGCTACCCAGAAAGTCCTGTGGGTGATCAGTGAACCAGTAGGAACTAGGAACTCCTACCTAGTAGTAGGAACTGGCATTTGATGGGCAAAAAGGTCATTAACCTTCAGCTTCTGTCCCACAAGTGTCTGATACCAAACCATAGCAAGCATTTTTGACAAATGATAGGGCTCTCCACAATAAGAACTGAAGATCTTTTCCTTTAGTCTTAGATTCAGTAACTCGTCCCTTCCCTCCTTATTTCCTTTCGATACTACTGTCCACAGCCTGCAGGGTCAGAGGAGTGTATATAAGGGGTGCCGGATACCAGGAAGGTGAGTCAAGAGTAAAGAGCTTGTATAGGTGAGTGAAAGGAGTATCTGAGCCGTAACATCCTCTTTGTCACCCTCCCAAGCTGCAGGAAGCAAGGAGATTGCCCAGCTCACCCCCAGGAGCAAGTAAGGAACGTTGGTAAGAGTGTTCCCGTTGCCATCCTGGCCCCTGAACAGGGATATATGGCTGGAATTCACAGGAAGTAACTGGAACAAGGCAAGTCTATGTCAGGACTGGCCCTGCTCCCAGCTGCTTGTTGGCACTCCATGAATAATCGCCATACCACCAGGAGGGCGTACTGTTAATGTCTCTCTGAGAGTTACAGCCCCAGACAAGCACGGTCCCCTAAGAGGCACAAACGCAATGTCTCCAGGGGGACATGTGAAATGAGCAGTCATAGGTCTTATTCCTCGACTTCTTGCTGTCAGAAATAGACAGACAGATGCCTCATGCTACTGAAGTCTGGGTAGCCCCTCTGGAGCCCTGGAGATGGCCCCTTCCATTCCTCCAGTACTGCCCATGTCCCCCTCCCTGCTAGCACCAAGTAACGTCAGCGGCTTTCTTGGTTCATTTGTATTTCAACTTTACCCTTCCCTTTAGCACCTGAGAAACAAGTAGCTGTCTTCCTGGGGATATCAGCTGATTATTCTCGTTTGTTTTCTCTCCCTTCACCTGCTGACTTTCAGGCTTCCTGTCTATTGGGTACTACCGACCCCGGAACTGGTCCCTCATACATTCTGGGACAGCAGGTGTCTCCTGGGATTGTCCCAAGTAAACCAGGACATAGACTCACCCTTCCCAGATGGGTCATGCCTACCTCACTGACTTGTAAGAATGAAATGAATGGACATTTCAGCACAGTGAGTGGTCGAATTGAGGACTAAGCCAGCTGCTGTTTGCTGGGCTCTTCCGTCGGCGTGTGACCTGCCTGTACCGCACCTGATCCAGCCCTGGCTCCTTCCTCCCATCTCTTTCCTTCTTTCCTCTCTCCTTTGACCTCCTGTCCTCTGCTCGTTGTTGTCTTCATCTCTGCCACCAGACCTCTGTCCCCTGACTGCCCGGCGTTAACGGGGTTTTACAACGCTGCTTACCCTCCTTATGCTTGATTCCAGGGCTGTGAACAGCCAAGCCCATTATTCTGGGCCCGGACCTGTTTGGCGGAGTTGTTGCTCCATTTCTCTGACCTCGCACGGAGGGCCTGAGCACTCCTAGGAGTTAGGGGCAGAGTGGTGGTAGGGCTGAAACCAATTTGCACAGGCACGTTCCTATTTTATGTTCTATTCACAACTTTATTCTCCAGGTGAATGCTTCTTGTCTAGCCCTGCCTAGTTCACCCTTGGGTTCATATCCAAAGATCTCACAATATCTTCTTTTTATAGGTGGAAACACCCTGGAAATCTTCAGGCTCGAGGCCTGAGGAACACTTTTAAGGGCACAGACTTCTGTGCTCCTTCCCTGCTGCCTGGCTTCTCGCCTCCAGAAGGGAGAGCGGGATTGGCTGTAAGATTGTCCCCGCAAGAGTAGATGGGGGGCCAGTCTCCCTGGGGAGGGGAAGTGGTAGAGTCCTGTCTGGCTCAATACATAGCCTCGAATCGGAGTGGGACAGGAAGCCCCAGGTGGGCCTGAGAGATATGTCTGGGTCAATACTGTAACGCCCTGAAAAACCTCCTGTGCTCTGAGGGTGCACCTGCCCTCAGATCAGTGTAATGGGGTGACCACCAGGTGTCATGTCAGTACTGCCCGTCACCACCGTGTGCCTCAGTTTCCCGGTGTGTGTACCAGGAGCCACTCCTTCTCGGAACAGAGGGGCGCTGCAGGAACCAGCTGCGGGGCCCACGGAAGGTCGCAGAGAGCTGATAGTCTGGGCTCGCTGCTTTCGGTACCCAGGCGGGAAGTGAGCAAAAGTGCAAAGCGGGAGGAGCCCCTAGAAGCTCCGAGGGCCGCCAGTCCCTAGCGGGGAGGCAGAGCCCGAGAAAATGCAGGTGCCAGAGGTTGGCGGGTCGGTTTGCGCCGGGTCCGACCCTGAGGGCCTTCAGGTGCAAGGGGGCGGGGGCTCCGGGCGACTGGCCGCCGAGCCGGGGCGGGCCGGGCCGCGGGGCATTTAAACCCGGCGGACTGCCAGCGAGGGACACGCGCCCGGCTCCGCGCCCTCCGTCGGCCACCCTCTCCGCTTCGGATACCGGCCGGGCGCGATGCGGTCTTCCTTGGCTCCGGGTGTCTGGTTCCTGCGCAACTTCTCCAGGGACAGCTGGTGAGCCGGGCTGGGGGAGGGAGGGGCGCAGGGCCCCGGAGCAGCTCCCCGTCCGGCCCCGGAGCGCCGGGGCAGGGAGCGCCGGCGGCCGGGCGGAGGGCGGGGGTGGGGGACGAGCCGGATGCCGAGGGACAGCCCGCCTCACGCGCCCCACCGAACCTGGGCTTGCATGCTGGGCAACGGAGGCCAGGGGCCGGTGGGGTGGCGGAGTGTCCCTTTTGTTCCCTCCTACTCCTTGGATAAGACAGAGGCCAGAACTCAGGGGTCCTGGGACCTCACCTAGAGGGGGTCCGGGGCCCCGAGGGCCATACCTCTCAGATCAGAGCCGCAGCTGCTCGTCGGCTGAACCGTCCCCCCACCAAGGCGTGCCCGTGCTTCTGCAGTAGCCTTCCTCCTGACCACGCTGGGCTGTGCGGTGCGGTGGAGGGCTTTCGGCTCCCTCTCCATCAGAAGCCACACACTGGAGCAGTTTGCTTGGTCTACACAGTGTTGTTTGAACATTGTGTTAGTTGCCATCATTTACAAATTGTAAAATTTAACGTAAATAGCCAGATCCCTGGCTTCTCTTGAAAAACAGTTTAGCAACACCAGGCCTAAATTCCCAAATTATATTACTAGGGGTTGAGGATCATCTTTAGATAGGGTGGGTGCTCTTAAGATGACCAACTTATTGGTTTTAAGACAGAAAATCCTACATACCCAACCCCCTCCGTCCTGGGCAAATTGGGATGGTCGATCACCCACAGTGCTTGCCAATTGGTACCGCCCTTACTAGCTTGCAGCCTTCTTCACTCATTTACATTACTTATTTGATCCTTCTTGAGTTTAGGCCTGTTAAAATATTTTTCATTAAAAGATGAAATCATGACTGATAGGATATAAAAACGAACATGTGTTAAAGATTTTATTTTACTTATAATGAGAGAGGCAGAAAATGTTATGATCAGTTAAAAAGTCCAGGAAGGGGGGAAGAGGGAGTTACTTTTTAATGGGCACGGGGTTTCAGCTTGGGAAGATGGGAAGTTCTGGGGATGGGTGGTGGGGATGGTTGCACGACAATGCAAAGGTACTTCATGCCACTTCAAAATGGTAAATTTTATGTTATGTATATTTTACCACAATTGAAAAAGAATCTGAAGAACTTGCCCATTTGTAAATCAGGAATATTGAGACAAAACTGGTTTTTCCACAGGTTGGGAGGAAAGACTATTAATTTGAGACTGTCATACACATAGTTTGTATGACTTATCAGTTACCTACCACTTCAAAGAATTATAAAAGCCCAAAGTCAAGGAAAGGCTAAAATCTGATAACTGGAGGGGTGTCCTCTAGACAATGCACAGTTTCCCAGGGAAACATTTTTTTTCCTAAAGTCTCCCCTGCTTTGATCAAAAATAGTTGCAAAGATTATTCTTGATCACAAAATAAGGCCGGTCTCATTAGATTTGATCTGATTATGTATATAGGTACAGCAAGAGTGTTAATCTACAGTATAGGCCTTGTTGAGTTGCTTTGCTGGAAGTTTTCATAAGAAATCTTAGACTGGACTTTTAAAAGCCTTTATTTATCATTCTTTATTATTTACTGTTTTGAGATTAGGAAGCCAAGACACTGGTTTTCACACTAGGTTTTACCTGCTGTACCTATAAATGTGGGCAAATCCCTCTTTTCTTGAAGTCCCCAAAATATCCTAATTGTCCTGGGCCTATCAGGGAATGACCTTCCTTATTTGCCTATAAGGGAGCACAGTAAGCCGGTTTTCTTGGGAGGGTTTTATTAGTATTGGCTCCACGCAGTCACCTTAGTTCCTTAAAAGGGGCTGGCTATATCTGATTAAATGATCATCATTGTCAAATATGACATTCCACATAAGGCCTTGGTTATATAATCAATTTTTCTAATTACATCCGTGTTTAAAAAAAAAAAAAGGACAGGGCACCTGGGTGGCTTAGTCGGTTGAGCATCTGACTCTTGATCTCGGCTCAGGTCTTGATCTCAGGGTCGTGAGTTGGAGCCCCACACTGGGCATGGAGCCTATTTCAAAAACAATGACAACAAAAGGACAGTTTCTTATTGAACTTTTACTAATAACCATATTGCTATGAAAAGCGGGAAGACTCAACAAAAGTTTCTGAATTTGGGGTGTGGGGCGGTCTGGTAGGGACAATAAGATATTTGTTAAGTGTTTCATTTTAGTTTACAAAAACAGAGTCTACTAAATCCTTACGGGTTATACAACACTGAAGAAGAAACGGAAAGAGCTTCCTTATTTCCAGAAAATCGAACACTATAATATCAACAATACTCCAAACATAAATGACAGCCATCCCTCATCAGTTCACTTAGGCCTATGTGATTCTTATTCCCCTGAATCTTGGGTTAGCAGTCTCATAAATCTGTCTGCTTCTTCACTAGAGTTCTGGAAATCCTGACTCAATGCACTGGTATGTTCTTAAAGATGTGTAAGCAATGCCATGGGAGGCCTGTCCCCAAGACTGAATGCCTGGTACAGTGCTTTTCTGAGATAGTTCTCGATTGGTCAAGATAAAACCTTTGGCCTATAGCTGATTGCAGAGCCTTTAGGAAGCATCAGAATGAAAAAAACTGTAAGTGACAGAGATACTTTTCCAAAGTGAACAACCTGATGAGAATTCATGACAAGAATAATGTGGCTAACCAGGAAATGTGGTTGTTCCTGAGCTATGCAAAACGAAATCAAGCCAATTAAAAATCTAGACAACGTCTGCAAACATAGTAAGGTAAATGCAAAGAAGATGGTGAACATTACATCTTGATTTATAAAAATGGATGAACACAATTTGTAAGGAGAAAAAAATCTTGAGATATTTAAAAATCCTGAGATATAATTTATACAACATACCAAGGATATACCAAGAATATCATCTCAGGAGATTCAGTAAGTCTGGAGTACGTCCTACACATGTGTATTTTATGTATTTAAGTAACCTCCACACCCAGCGTGGGGCTCAAACTCCCGACCTTGAGATCAAGAGTCACACTCTTCCTACTGAGCCAGCCAGGTGCCCCTACAGCTCTGTATTTTAATAAAACTCCATAGGAAATCTGATGTACATCGCGAGGTGAAAACCACTGACCTAGAAGGTGTTCGATTCAAATTAAAGGAGTAAGGTTGCAGCCCAGGTAACATTTTAAATCAGAACTGAAATCGTGACTGGTTGCCCTGTATTGTTATCATCATGCAGAGCACTGCCGGGGTGCTGATTCACGGCAGCAGATCATGGACCCGGAGGGCACTGAGAAATCTGGAGGAACTGCTCATGTAGCATACAATTTGTGAAATATTTATATAAATAATAACATTTTACCTTTAGAAATTTAACCTAGACGAGGCTGAGTGTCTCTTCTGATTTCACAATTATTTCCATGCAGTTGGTCAATAGCAACATATGAAATAAAACTAATTATTTGCAGCACCTCTCTTTTTAAAAGGTGAAAAAACAAATTTTCCAGGGGCCCTCTTGGACATCTCATTGATAATTCTAGGTATGAAAGATGTCCAGAAAGTTTTATTTTGCATTTAGGACTTGATTTTGGAAAGGCAAAAATTCAGAAGTTGTTAGGACATTTGAATGCTTATCATGAGTGCCTAAGAAACTTCTTGTCTACCCATTTGAAAGTGACGATGGTTCATTAAAAAATAAACATGGAAGGTAACATTGTAAAGAAACTTAGCTGTTTCCTAAAAATCTTTGTTTTGAAAAGTATGGAAAATTATTCTGTAAGACACCAGATTTTTGCCATCTAGGCAGATTACCCAAGAGGTAAAAGAATAACATTTTACAACCTCTCTTTAGGAGCAGACCAAGAAAATTTTGTCACTTTTACAAAGAGAAAACCAAATTCTACTCTCACATTGATATATTTGATACTAAAGGAACCACGGCCTCTTTTGAGATTATTTTTTGAATATTGAGATTATTTTTGAAAATAATATGAATAATATTACTGTTAATATTAATAATGTTATAATGTTAATTATTAATATTAATGTTATAATGTTAATGTTAATATTAATATATAATATGAATAAATGAAAACAACCAGACTTGGACAAAACTTTAACATAATTATTTATTTTCAAACTCATTATTTGCACATACTATAATCCAAAGCAAATCAAATTCTCTTTTCACAAGCCTTTTATAAATTTATCCATTCAGATTTTGTCCTTTATTGTCCTCTTTCTTATTCTGGAATGACCAGTCATTTTACTTTAGGATAAAACTTCTCTTTTTCTGTTCTTAATAAAAAAAAAAAAACTCATCACTGTGTATGCCAAATTGTACCCGTCTGCCACTATTATTCATAATAGAGTTTCATTCATATATATTATACCCTTTAACCAGAGTAACTTCTCTTTCAGAGAAAATAGGGTTGGGGAGGGTAGGTAGTTATAAACAGCCTGTCCCATACCAGCATTTTAGAAGAGCTCATGGATACACCTGACACAGCTTTCCACAACCACACATGTCATTTAAAGGATGATGCACACTTTTTTTTTTTTAAAGATTTTATTTATTTGACAGAGAGAGAGACAGCGAGAGAGGAAACACAAGCAGGCGGAGCAGGAGATAGAGAAGCAGACAGAGCAGGGAGCCCAACGTGGGGCTCAATCCCAGGACCCTGGGAACATGACCTGGGCGGAAGGCAGATGCTTAACGACTGAGCCACCCAGGCGCCCCTGACACACACTTTTTAAAGTATCACTCCAGGGCACCTGGGTGGCTCAGATGGTTAAGCGTCTGCCTTCGGCTCGGGTCATGGTCCCAGGGTCCTGGGATCAAGTCCCACATCGGGCTCCCTGCTCCTTGGGAGCCTGCTTCTCCCTCTGCCTCTCTCTCTCTGTGTGTCTCTCATGAATAAATAAATAAAATCTTTAAAAAAAAAATAAAGTATCATTCCAGTTATGTGCTGTGTTCTCCAACATCTCCCAGATTTAAGACAGATCTGGATTGAAA